GTATATTACTACACAAGCCTACTATGGTTGTCTTAAATAATTTTTGATCATAGTAACTAGTCTTTTAAATGCGTGTACTATTGTTTATCTCTATATGTATTTTGTGGAGCATTTTATTGGCCCTAATTGAGACTGCTTAGGAAGTACTATGATTTTTTTTGCATTTCTAAATCTATTTGGCAGGTAATTGTATATTGCAAGCAAGTACCTGTCTATCTTTTTTGCATACGATCGCCCAATCACATAGAACAGAAAAAACCAAGCGTCAACAAATGAACCAGTTAGGAAAAACAGCAAATTACACAATAAACATTATTTAAAACTAGTGAAAGTAAAATGACTTACATATATTATTTTATTGGAGTAGGCAATTAATTTGTCGCAATTGTATCGTAAATTGTCGACAGCGATTTTATTTTTAAACCTCTGTAAACGTCTGTTTAAAACATATCTGTAATTACAACACTTAGGATTTTTTATATAAATAATTTAAACACAATTTAATTATCTTACATTTAATTTTAATTAGTGCACTTAGTTAGCGCTTTACACGCAATATCATAAATATAAAAGCTTATAAATCACAAAATAATTTGAACAAAATTTATTTTTAAAACCAACCTAAAGTTATTTTTAACTTGCTTTTTGTGTAGGTTAAAACAAAGTAGGTAGGTACAATTTAATTAATCCTCTACAAAGAAGGTATAACTAAATCGTTAACTTATCGTTACTGAGCAATGATTAAAACTCGCCAATCAACAGGTTTCGTCAAATATCGTTTATGCTCCACTTATCTGATGACTAGTGGTAAACCAATGCAAATAATCCCGCCCATACTTGACCAACTAGGTTAAGATGTTACAAAAAATGACACTAGTAATATTAAGATAATAGGTATGTATTAGTAAAAATGAGCACAGAATTATAACGTTTTGAACATTACAAGATATGAATACATCTACCCACGAAAATAAAAATCTCATGAGTAGGGGCCCCATGTGCTGCTTGAAACTAGACAACAGTAACGTTCAGTAAATAGCAAATCATAATTACTTAATTAACATAAATGAACACTCCCGTGGACACAAAATAAAGTGTTTGTAAAGAGTAAATATTTAGCTTTTTGTACGTAGTGGTATGTTCTTTTTAAAACAACGACACTGCTTAACCATTTTTCTCAATTTTGCTTAAGCTATTGCTCAAACAACTCACAAAAAAAGTAAGTAAACGAAAATATCCGCTTAGAAAAAGATTGAGTACATAATTCGATATTTTTAGATTTTTACAAAAGTTTACAAGACGGAAACATCGATTGCATCAATGTAAAAATAGAGAACCCATTATATTCTATTCGTGAACGCTTTAAAATAGGGATGTCGAGGAAAATTCTAAAAGAGTTATTAAAAATGTTGGACCCATTTTTTTATTTTTCAAAGAAAAAGATATGTATTTTTGCCGATTTTTCAAAAGCTTGAAACCACACAGTAAGCACAAAGTCTTCGTCTTTACTCTGTGCCTAAAACCTTGATACTCATTGGCAAACTTACAATCTGAACTTATTATTTTGTCTGCTTATCTTTTTTCTACAAACTAAAAAAATACGTCCTACGCAAAAGATCGTAATATCAATGAATTAATTTTTCTTCCTTTTTCATATAAAAGCTGCTAAACTGATGTGAGTGACACTTGACTAAGAGATAGATAATTATCGGCAATACTATAGAGTAGTATATTGTAATAGGTACTAGCTTTTGCCCACGACTCCGTTCGCGTGGAATAGTGACTTCCTGCAGATTTTTTGTATAAGAACTATCCTATGTCCTTTCGTGAGTTCAAAATTATGTCTGTACCAAATTTTACAGAAATTGATTCAGTAATTTAGGCGTGAAGTGAAGTTAAGCAGACAGACAGAGTTATTTTCGCATTTATAACATTGGTTTGGATTTTTACATCGATCGAAATAGTGAAGGTGTCCTTCACTATTTGATACGATTTACGTGCATTAATCAAGTGACGTAACGAAATACATATATTTAGATACATTCCGAGAAACTGAAACAGTTAGACTGTCTCGTAAAATGTCTAGACATAAATTGGCTCAGCAGTAAAATAAGCGTGGATAGAACACACCATGACTAGAATACGGTTCCGTACGATAAATTCGCAAGTAGAAAAATAAACAACATCTGTTCTTCGTCTCATTTGTTTGAATGCGAAAACTCGATTACAATAAGATGACGGAAAAATAAACAGTATAGACAGATAATTTCCAATACACCTGCGCAAGCCATAGTAAATATCTTCGCTCATCTAATAATCGTCTCCTCAACTGTCCAACTCATCACTCAAAATTTCTTCACTCCTCCTTTTTTGTTCAGGCTATTCTTCTGTGGAATGCGCTACCCCCCGATGTCAGGACTGTGACTGGTCGGCTGACATTCAAGCAGAGAGTTCGGGAGCTTCTTCTGAGGAGGGTTCGGGAGTCATCGTGATCACGACTACATTTATGTATATATATGTATGTATGTATGTATTTATATGTGTAAGTATATTAAGTAGTATGTGTTTTATAATATATATAAGTATAGTTCTATGTACTTTATGTATGTTTATATAAACCTATGTTATACTATTCTATTTCGCTTGCTTCTTGCATCTACTACTGGATTCTCTGCATCACCCAAAGGTCGACTGGTAGAGAATGCTCAATGCATTAAGTCCGCCTTATGTACAAATAAATTGTGCATGAAGTAAATAAAAAAAAAATTCAATGTATTAATAAAGGCAATCTTAAGTTTTAGATTTCAGATCAGAATAATGAACACAGATTAGAATTTCATTGTTTCATGTGTCATTTTCTTTCAAGTCGATTGACAATCAGGTGTGCAATTAAAATTCCATTCGGAGCTATTTTAAGAAGCGCTGAAGCCGCTTTAAAAATAATTTCATAGGAGGTAATTGTGACACCTGCGTGATCTAATTTCACGTGCCAAGCACTAACTATAGTCTGCTCAGGGCCGTATTGTTCACACAGCAAGAGTAGGATTTGGCCCCGCGAGCAAAGGGGCCCGAGGCACTAAGCAGGACTACCATAAAGTAGCAATCAAAACTTAAATCAATCACGTCGGTATCTTATTTTACAGGATAGGTCAGTAAACAAGTAACATATAGCATACGGATCACCCGACGGTAAGCGCAATTAGCGCCGCCAATGGCTAGGTACTTGTAACACCAAAAGAGTTAAAAGTGCATTACTGGCTTGTCGTGGGTTTGGTTATTAAGGGCTTGGGAATGGGAGAAGGCAAGGTATTTGGCCATCGATAATGTACCTAACTCTTACGGCTCTCCGATCGAGCTGACGCATTCGTGCTCAAGCGTGGCTCTACCTTAGATAATTATCATTTTAATGGCACTATATTTCTTCTTAGGAAGAATACCATTTGCTATGGTCCCTTAAATTCCACCTTAGACTATATTTTCTTTAGAAATATGACATATTTTTAGAAAAAACTTTCTTCTCGCAGCACGCCGGCCGCATGTCGATCAAGATCGGGGACCCTCTTTGCTACGGGCCCCGCGTGTGATTAATCCACCACTGTCTGTTTAGTGTTTATATTAGGCTCACGTGGACGATAATAGCTCAGGTCATAGAACCTTGCAGGTAGACGAAGGCTACTTGGTAATAATAGGTTTGAGGGACTGATTGACTTAAAGATCTTGCCACAGCTTAGACTTGAAAAGATTTATCTATTTAATTCATGGGTCAAACAAATGGATTATGAAACCAATTATTTTGGAAGAAAAACAAAACACAAACTAAATACATTTTTATGTAATTGTATCCTCATACTCCCAGGGAAGCAATTTATTTGGACCGCTTTTATAACAATAAAGAGGCGTTAGAGTTCATTAAATAAAATGCTTCAAAATACTAAAAAGGTTTTAAGTTATTGTCATTCAAGATTAAAACTGCAAAGACGAAAATTTGTACGAGTAAGAAGGGGCGGATATTTGTTGCCCTTGAAGAAAAAACAACTGCACGGACATTAATATAGTGTGTTACAAAGAACGAGAAAAACAAAACTTTAGAAATACTTAAATTGCAAACTATGTATTTCTAATCTTATCCAGGTTGTCCATAATTTTAACTTAATCAAATGTAAATCAGTTTATAACTATTTAAGTGAGTAGGCGTTAAACTAACACACATTGTATCTGTACCTCTATTAATGGGATAGGAAAGTCCCCAAACCCTTTTGAAGACCCACACACACACACACACACACACACACACACACACACACACACGCATATACGTAAACTTAATGGTAAACTGGTGCGTATCCTTTTTTTGTAACATATTTATCAATTCTATCAAGTTCCGCCCCGATAACCAAAAACCACATATAATAAACAATATTTACCGACATAATATGATAAATTTGATAAAAAACACACTAAAATAATATTCGCTTAATTTTGTTTTTGTGTATAATTAATTCATATCATATTAACAAAAGTAAAAGGCAAAATAATAACCACCCTTTATAAAAAGTAACACATATATGGTACTGCAAAATTTTAAAATAGAATTTTAGCCGTAAATAATTAAATCCTATTGCCGGATAATTCCAGGTTTATTCTGCAAAACAAAAAGGATAATTATTATTCCCGAATTTAGGACCCCGATATGAACGATTCGAATCACTGAACTGTGTGATCGATCATTATACATTTTATGCTAAACATATACCTCGCTAGAATAGACCACAATAGTAACATTTGCACTACATTTTCAATTCAAGGTTAATGCGATAGGGTTGACTATTTAATTTTTTATCGACATCGATTAAATACAATAAATATAGGTTTGTTCCTAAATCATGAATCAATTTTTAATCGGACCTTAAGACCGCCGAGTCTAACCTATCACCGCTCTTGTAAACAATATGCAACAGCACGCTGAAATCCTATCATTTTTTTTTCTGAGCTAACTGGCGTGTGCTTTTAAACATGGCTGCGAGCGGGCGCCGCCGTTTAGTACACTCGCAACCGGTGACGGAGGCACGCGTCAACGCGTTCGATAACAAATTGCGGACATCAATAAATAAATAAAAAAAAACTTTAACACAAATGTGCCAAAGGAATTTTATTCCACTTTTAAAAACCTTACGTGTTTAATAAATAACTAAAAAGCGCGCGAGTGTGTGTTGGACGCGTTCGTATGGATCTTAACTAGCCGGCGATACGGAGCATTCCAAATAATTCGTATTGGTCAAGGTCCGTATTAAGATTGGCGTATTATTGGTGTGAAATTGTGCGGTTTCGTATCCTGATTCACGTGTTCCATAGGTGAGTGACATCTCGTAAGCCTAGTCTAGTCACAGCTTTATTTTTAACACAAGAACGCTAGGATGCGCGCGCGCAACTATTTTTGGTTCACCGTGCGTTCACACCTATATTCTAAACTACATTCTCATGTTACAGGAGAAAGTTACGAAAATGTTTTATCTTTAACCTAATTATTATCACACAATTACTCATAAGTCATAAAGATGCCATTTTATAGACCAATCGTAAAATAAATAGGAACGTTGCCAAATCGTATAAGAAACTGGATGAAAAAGTCATTGTCAAAATTTAATTTGCATTCATTAAAATATATAATGGGTTATTGTTTTTGTTAACTAAAAGTCCGGTAGCCATTAATATTTGTCAATTTCATATTCTGGTGTCATTGTCGGTAATTTTCAACACATCATTTTACTTAGAACCTATAGATATATTATATCGTAAAAATAATTTTTAGTTGCATTTTTGTCTACTACTTTATTTTTACCGCGAACTTACAAATTGCATTATTTGTCGATGCCATTAAAATAAAAGTACAAACAACAGTATTAAAAAAATACTTAAAAAATGAGTGCAAGAACAATATAAACTTACTTATTATCTTAATTGGCCATAAAAAATAAAATAAATATTGATTGGTGTGTACACAATCTAAGCGCATTACTAATGAGTTCGTTCACTTCAATGAGCTATTAACAAGATTCAGTTAATACACTACCTGTGCACAAATGTTTGTAAACTACATATTACAGTTCAATTTATTTAAAATATCGATAACGATAAAGAAAAATTTAAGTACTATCGATATCACTATCGACGGTGAAGTACCAAAACCTTTTCTAACTTACATCTTTGTAGAGACTCACCTTTTTATTTTATAGGAAATGACATAAAATTCTTGGGTATTGTTAGGAAGTGATTTTTAAGAATGTTGTTGCAATTAAATATAAACATTAAGAAGGATTTCATCCAACACGCGAAAAGCGCATCTCGATAAAAAATCCCAAAAAAAGTTAGTAGATATTGACACTTCACTTTAGTTATCTAATAACCTACCTACATAATATATTGTTACTTTGGAACCAGAACTATAAACTTTACATGACAAATTTTAATAAAAAAAGTAAGTAACCTTGACTTTAAATTCGTTTCAAATGGCATGTCGATAAGTCCACTTCTTTATTTGTCAACTAAAACTGGTTCTAAATTTTACGGTGTAGTTATTTTATCATATATTATGCTGTAAATATTATTAATATTTATACGTACTTAAATAAACATATCTCATCCTCCTCGCATACATAAATATAATTAAAATGCAACTGTACTTTTATAATTGCGTGAGGTACCTACTTCAGACATAGACTACAATATGTTTTAATAAATAACGATATAGTTACTGAATAACGACATTGATTTTAAGTTTATACCGATTTCATTTACTTAAACAAGAAATAAATGTTACCTAATAAGTCAACGAACTGAACTTGAATAATCTGAATACCGAAAACAGAAAGTTAAAACCATTTGTCAATCCACTGAAAACTCGCCACAATGTTTTTGTTCTGTATTATTCAAAAAAAGTACAATTGTAAGTTTTTTTAATTGTATTTTGCCGTCTATGTTTATATTTACTTTGACTTAGACTTTTTTTAATTAATCAAAAAAAAATGTACTAAATTTAATTTTGTTGATAAAACAGGACGCATGTTTTAGCATTGTATAACCAGCCAGTGGTAGATCATATGGGACACAGATAAAAAATTACCGCGAAGCTCGAACGAGACCTTGAGTAAAAAAAATAAACTAGTTTTTTTTGTGAACGTGCTAAACTGCGATGTCTTAATTTAAATTGAAAATTTGCGGCGTGGTGCGACCTTTACTGAAGAAAGACTAATGTTGTTATTTTTTTAAAAAAATCAGAAAAAAATGGGTTCTTTTTAATTATTGTAAATTATGCTCTTAATTTTGTAACTCGAAAGTAACAGTTTATAAAAAAATTACACTGCGTTACCTACATAAAAAGGACTTAATAACTTAAGTAAGTAGCTAAGTAGATAAAGAATATAATAAACTGGCGCTTTACATCCAATGTCAGTGGCTTTAATGGCTCTAACAGGATAACTTACACGTTTAATAATACATAACGAGCTAAATTAAACGAGTTAAATTATATAAACAGTATACAATATCTCCTCAAACCTCATTTTATATATCCTCTTAATACTATAAAAACCAAAGGTTGTAAGTATAGATATATGGTTATTTATTTCTACAAAACTACTGAATGGATTTTCATGAAAATTGGTACAGAGATAGATTAAAGCCTACCCGAGGGCCTAGCCCTACAATGAAGGATCAGTGGTTTACTTATAGGATCAGAGCCAGTAAGATTCTGACGCTACCTCTAAATCAGGGCGACAGAAATCATTTCAGGAATTCCCTCGTCAAAAAAAAGAACTATTTACTTTTAATTCAGGTAACGCGAACGAAGATGCTGACAGAAGCTAGTGGTATTACAAATAAAATATGAGTCCTAAATCTCACTCCGAGGTAATTTTGATGTGTACATGAGTTAAGATAAAATGTCCTAAAAAGATAAGGAATAATTTTGAAAGAGTCAGTCTGTTTATTTTCTCATGGCAGTTACATCTGCGGAGAATACTTTAAGATACTTACAACAGCCAGCAGACTAACATATTTGGTAAATTGCAGCCTTATTTCTCATGATTCATCAATAATAGCTTTTTTAATAGCATGATTTACGAGGATTGGGTATTCTGTTATTCCGAATGAAAAAATGTGTTTTGCAAACACATAATCGACCGATCACTTATGTGTCTCGTTAATCTATTCGCAAATTAACAATATACCTATATAATTTCTAAAATGTCATTAATGTCAAGTTGTATATGAGTATGGCTTAGTATACCTACTAATCCCCACGACATTAATCCCCATCACAAGTCTTTGTCCACTGATGGCTGTACCAACACTTCTTATCTAAAAACTTTAAATATTTGCCCGTCGAGTTTAAAAGTCTGATGACCTGAACATATCCGTGATTTCTACGAAGTTAGAGAATGTAAGTCAGAGTTGAGCAGATTCTTTAATTATTTAGAAATAGTTTCTTGTAAAATTCATATAGGTACCAGTGGCGGCGTAGCATAGGTTGGCACCCGGGGCGACTTTCTATCGAGCACCCTCAAAATAAAACGACAAATATTAAACGTGTTTACGTGACTTTATTTTGCTAAAATACTCAATGACATTATCAAAATTTACTTTCCTCTCCTTTTCAATGGCCAAAATGGATAGACTGGAAAGTCGTGTTTGGCTCATTGTAGATCTTAAATAAGATTTTATTAACTTTAATTTTGAGAAACTTCTTTCACAAGTAGCCACCGAAACACAAATAGTTAAAAAAAATCTTAGACATAGAGCTAGACTTGGAACAGACTCAGAATAGTCCCATTTTACAATAAATTTCAGAAGCTCCAAGGTAGTCCATTGGATCGCTTCTTGAAGAGAAATGCTGGCAGCTTCCAAGTGGCGCCTCAGTCGTAAAATCTCCAAAATAATGTCCTCTGCAGAAAATTCATCATAGATTTTTGTAAGATTTGGAACTTTATCACGAAGTTCTTCTTCTGTTGACGTAAGTAGAGTTTCAGACTGAACAACACCAAATGTTATGAGAATATCATCCATTGCTTTGTAGCGATGCTCTAGTTCTTCGTAAAATCTATCAAGACATTCTAACATAGCTCTATGCAACTCTTCTGGCAATGTTAGTCCAACATCTTGGGACATTTCTCCTGGCATTCGTTTTCGGAATCTCCTCCTTCCTCTTCTTTCAACGGAGATATCCAAGTCCTCACATTTCTCAGTTGCGTAGGAAATAGCTCTGTCCACTATTTGTATACGTTGAGTTTGAAGAAAAATTTTTAGGGCTTTAATTTTTATAACACACTTTTCCAGCGATAGTCCAGATGTTTGGATATACTTTTGTGTCTGATTAACTTCTTCTAGGATTTCACACCAAAAAGAGAGGTAGCATAAAAAACTGAAGTCACATAAAGCTGGTAAGAGTGTGGATGCTGCTTCTCTTGTATCGACGTTTTCTCTGCTGCTTCTGGGATCACACATCTCTTCGAGTGTTGATACAAGTTTCTCAAAATTATTCTTCAATGACTTAACAGCATCGTGATGAGCACTCCATCTTGTCTCTACTAGTCTTTTGACCGATACGCCTACACTTTTCATTAGAATTTCCCATCTATGTGTGGATGACGAAAAGAACGTGTAAACTCTTTCTACTGTTCCAAAAAATGTTACACTTGAACTAACACTCATGAAAGAGTGCACCCCACATAGATTTAGCGAATGATTAGCACAAGGCATAAACAAAGCTTTAGGATTGTGTTGCTTAATGATAGATTGCACACCACCATGAACTCCTGCCATGGTTGCAGCGTTATCATATCCTTGAGCCCGACATAGATGAATGTCCAAGTTATCACTCTTTAACTGCGTAAGGATATTTTCCGTAAGTTCGATTGCAGTCTTTCCAGCTATAGGGAAGAAACCTAGAAATGATTCCTTCACTTCAACTTGATCGCCTTCAATATGAACATATCTGATTACATAACTCATCTGATCAACATGTGATATGTCTGGTGTACTATCGAAAATAATTCCAAAATATTTAGCTTTCTTTATGTCGTCCAAAATGTTATTCTTTACTTCTCTCCCCAAAAGACTGATGAACTCATTTTGAATGTCTTTAGACAAATAAGAATCTACCCGTTTACTTTTTGTACAGGCGATAGCATGTTCAATTCTAATTTTGTGCTCTTTTAGCACTGGATCATATTTTGACAATAGATTAACTAATTCTAAAAAGTTCCCTCTATTGTCTGATGAAATCCCTTCTCTATGTCCTCTTAGAGGAAGATTTTGGCGTGCCAGGAAAAGAATGATATCCAAAAGGCGACTCAAAA